GCTCCCCCCCCAACAGCCGCACCGCAGCTCCTGCCCGTGGGCTTGCCCCGAATGCGGGGGGCGACGGGCAGCGAGAGTGACTCCGAGGCACTCGCAGGTGAGGGGCGAGTTTGGGGATCGGTCGCTCTGGCCCTCCCGACCTCCAGGTGCAGGCCGCAAAAAGACAGAGTCGGCTTCGCCGACACTGGCGCGCCAGCTGCCCGCGTGAGATCGGGCGTCAGCGCCCTCGTCTCCGAGGTGGCGCGCCGCGCTGGCGGCCCGCGTGAGCTGCGGCGAAAGGTCGCCGTGCCATCTCGTGTCAGACCCGTTCTTGATCGGAGAAGGCCTTCTCAGAAGGCTCCGAAGCCACCCCTCCCCGGGCTTCTGAGATGTGGCCGAGCCTGCCCCGCAGGCGCCGACAAGAAGCTCTCGGGAGCGCCGGAGCGCTTCTGAGAGGGCCCGCCGCCTTCCGAGGGGGCCTTCTCCTGCTCGCTTGCCCCCCTTGCTCGCCGCCGACAAACCTCGGACCTCGATCCTGAGCATACCCCCTCCTGAGCATATCCTTGGCATCGCTCGGACGTGTGCATTTTTCCTTCGGCGAGGACCATCGAGGAGCATCCTTGATCATTTGGCGGAAAAGAAAACACGCACGAAACCGAAAATTAGCCTGGCGAAGGACCCAACCATATGCAGTTGAGAGTACCGCAATTGTGAATATCTTCTTCGGTGGCGCTCCCTATGGGCCACGAGCCGTATGAGGGGTGTGCCGAAATGCGTGGCAGTGTACACAACACGAACGAAGACGATAGGTCCGAATATGAAAGCTTGAGCGCGTGCGAGTCGGATCGCGAGCGAGTCTGATTATGAATGAATCTGCGCGCGAATGATTCTATTCGCATGAATGCGTGCATGGATACGCCCAGTGTAAATGTATGTATACGACTGTGAACAGTTTGGGTCTGCGTGACTCTCGGTACTCGTGACTCTGAGCGTCGCCTCAGCAGGGGGCTTCCCTGGGAACCCCGACGGCAGCGCCCGCGCGCCGCGACGCCCATGTCGGCACGCCACACACCTGGTGTGCGGGACGCATGCGGACGGAAGCACTGGGGCCTTCGGTGGAGCTCCCTGTGGGGCCACGAAACGTGTGAGGGGTGTGCCGAAATGGGTGTGCGGGACGCATGCGGACGGCAGCCATGGGGCCTTCGGTGGAGCTCCCCTTGGGGCCACGAAACGTGTGAGGGGTGTGCCGAAATGGGTGTGCGGGACGCATGCGGGCACACCCACTGGGACCTTCGGCGGAGCTCCCTATGGGGCCACGAAACGAGTGAGGGGAGTGCCGAAATGGGTGTGGCTGACGCATGCGGACGGCAGCCATGGGGCCCTTCGATGGAGCACAATCCCGATGGGGCCACGAAACGTGTGAGGGGTGTGTGCCGAAATGGGTGTGCGGGACTCATGCGGACGCAACCAATGGGCCACGGTGAGCTCCCAATGGGGCCACGAAACGTGTGTGGGGTTGCCGACATTGGTGTGGCGGGAGCATGCGGACGGCCAAACCATGGGGCCCTTCGGTGGAGCTCCCTAATGGGGCTACGAAAACGTGTGTTGGTTTGCCGAAAAGGGTTTCGGGACGCAATGCGACGGCAACCAGGTGCCTTCGTTGGGAAGAATACAGGGGACAAAGGAGAAAGCTCCCCTGTGGGGCCAACGAAATGTGAGGGGTGTGCCGAAATGGGTGTGCGGGACGCATGCGGACGGCAGCCATGGGGCCTTCGGTGGAGCTCCCTATGGGGCCACGAAACGTGTAGGGGTGTGCCGAAATGGGTGTGCGGGACGCATGCGGACGGCAGCACTGGGGCCTTCGGTGGAGCTCCCTGTGGGGCCACGAAACGTGTGAGGGGTGTGCCGAAATGGGTGTGCGGGACGCATGCGGACTGCAGCCATGGGGCCTTCGGTGGAGCTCCCTATGGGGCCACGAAACGTGTGAGGGGTGTGCCGAAATGGGTGTGCGGGACGCATGCGGACGGCAGCACTGGGGCCTTCGGTGGAGCTCCCTGTGGGGCCACGACACGTGTGAGGGGTGTGCCGAAATGGGTGTGCGGGACGCATGCGGACGGCAGCCATGGGGCCTTCGGTGGAGCTCCCTATGGGGCCACGAAACGTGTGAGGGGTGTGCCGAAAAGGGTGTGCGGGACGCATGCGGACGGCAGCACTGGGGCCTTCGGTGGAGCTCCCTGTGGGGCCACGAAACGTGTGAGGGGTGTGCCGAAATGGGTGTGCGGGACGCATGCGGACGGCAACCATGGGGCCTTCGGTGGAGCTCCCTATGGGGCCACGAAACGTGTGAGGGGTGTGCCGAAATGGGTGTGCGGGACGCATGCGGACGGCAGCACGGAGGAGAGGAGGAGGAGAAGGTGGGACTCGGGGCGCTGTCTCTTCAAAACGAGGACCCAACACCACAGGATGGCTGGGAAAAAACAGGGAATGGACGTCCGAGCGATGCCCAGGACCCGTTCTTGATCGTCGCCGAGGTGTCACTAGCATCTTTCGGCGGCGAGCGAGGGGGGGAGGTGAGAAGGAGAAGGCCTTCTCAGCAGGCGGCGGGACTTCTCGGAAGCCCGCGCGCCCTCCGAGAAGCTTGTTCCTGCCTCCGGGAAAGGGCTGGAAACTTCTCAGCAGGCCAGGGGAGATCCGCACCTTCTGAGAAGGCCTTCTCCTCCTCACTTCTCCCCCTCGCTCGCCACCAGCAGCATCCTCCGAAGACCTCTCGCGACCTCGTCCCCCTCCCCCCACAGCCAAGACGGGCCGGCGACGCTTGCCCAACCTTCTGCAGCCGCACGTGTTGTCGCGCAGGGCGTGGCCCTCTCGTCATACATGACGCGCCGCAGGATGCGGTACCCATCGGTTGTTGAAACTAGGTGTTTTTTCTTTATTCCCATACTCCAATCGACTTTAATCGAAGAAGAACAAACAAAAATGCATACGCATCAACTCTTAGGCGCTCCGCACGAATTTTTTGGATCCGCGCTGGGCCCCCCCCCGGCGGCGCCTCTGGCGCCGCCCCTGGCGCGCTCCGCGCGCTAGGGAGGGGGGTCCAGCGCAGAAACAAGAAATCCGCGCGGAGCGCCAACAGTTTATGTGTATGCCTTTTGTTATTCCTCTAGGTAAGCGCTTTCCTACTTCAATGATCGAGTGGTTTCACCTTTCCCGTCATCCTCAGGGGGCAGACGGAACCCAATCTTCTTTCAACGCCTTCCTACTTCGTGTTCCTACCTACTTCTTCCGACCGATGGGTATGGAGTTTGGGCCGCTGATCTCGGTCTGCTATCAGCACTGGGGCTGAACAACTATTCCTACTCTGGTATTTTTTCGAGATGGTGATGCTTTTCTTGACTTAACTCGAGCTGCAGATGAGCTACAGAGCTGTTCGGCACAGCAATGGAAAGGAAATCATCAGGCGCGATAGTCTGAAGTATCTAGACGCCTGAACTCGGTCTGCTATCAGCGCTGGGGCCGAATAACTATTCGTATGCGAGGGGTGTGCCAGAAGAGGCGCTGGAGCCCCCAGCGGGCACGAAGCGATCCAGGGGTGCGCCGAAACGGGCGGGGGGGGCTCCTGTGGGCGCCATCCCGGGGGGCCTGGGTGGTGCTCCCCGTGGGGGCACGGTGCGGGTGCGCCGACATAGACATGCGGAGAGCAGGGGCAGGCAGAGGATGAAGGCAGGAGGAGGAGGAGGAGGAGGAGGCAGAGGAGAAGAAGGAGGAGGAGGAGGAGGAGGAGGAAGAGGAGGAGGAGGAGGAGGAGGAGGAGGACGAAGAGGAGGAGGAGGAGGCAGAGGAGGAGGAGGACGAAGAGGAGGAGGAGGAGGAAGAGGAGGAGGATGAGGAGGAGGAGGAGGAGGAGGAGGAAGGAGTGAGACGCGCGGCGCTGCGGGCGCAAAGCGAGGACCCCACGGCAGGAGGGCTGCGAAGAGGCTCCCAGGAGCCCCCTCAAGACCTCCCCCTCGTCCTCTGCCTTGGCATCGCTCGGACGTGGGCATTCTTCTCTCGGCGAGGACCATCGAGGAGCATCCTTGATCACTTGGCGAAAGACCACGCACGACACCAAAAGAAAAACACCGGGAATGGACGTCCGAGCGATGGCCAGCTGGGATCCGGAGGCAGCCAGGCTGCGCCCGAGAGCGCAGCTCCTCGGCGCGCGCGAGGGGTCAGGGCGCCTTCGGCAAGGGCGCCTGGCCTCTCAGAGGCCCTGCCGCCTGCCGAGCAGCCTCCTCGGAAGCCTCCTGGGCTCGGCATCGCTCGGACGTGTGCATTTTTCCTTCGGCGAGGACCATCGAGGAGCATCCTTGATCACCTCGCGAAAGAACCACGCACGAAACCGATAAACGCACAGGAAATGGACGTCCGAGCGATGGCCAGTGGGAGGGGCTGCTCGGGCGGCATTCGGTGGAAGAGGCTTCCTGGTGGTCAGAGACCGGCTGCCTGTTGATGGGCACGTTGTTGCAGATTGTCCCATCTTCTCATCTTCCTGCCCTCTGTTGCCCTTCCCCTTCCCCTTCCAATTCGCCGCACTCGTCGGGGCGTCAGTGCTCACTTGCTTTAGACCGCGGCGCCCAAGGCGTTTCAGACACGACGCACACATGTGGACTGATTGAGCAAGAAGCACGACAGAAACGGAAAGGAATCCACGGCAGACCCCCTCGCCCTAGCTCCGACCAAAATTTCCGCTCGAGACTGGTTCGCCTGGACCCCTCCCCGGGTCCGACTTGGCCCGTACTGTCGCCGCGAGGGACCCCCAGGAGGTCCCGAAATCTTGACCGAAAAACGCATCCGTATCCACGGCCTTGCAGGCCGGGCCCCTGGGCCGCGACCTTGCGGATACGGAGTGTTTTTTCGCGGATGCCCCGCGCGTAACGTATCCGTGCGACCGCACATCCGCGGGATCGCGTTCCAGAGTCCAGACCGCGAGAGCGCGGATACGGATATTTTCGCCGCTTCCAGGTCTGGTCCCCCACACCTTG